AAGAATGAAAAGAAGAATGAAAAGAAGAAGATGAAGAATGAAAAGAAGAAGAAGAAGAATGAAAAGAAAGAAGAAGAAGAAGGAAAAGAAGAAGAAGAATGAAAAGAAGAAGAATTCCAGTACAGCAAAAAGTGTATCTGCAGAGAGCTCCGCTATTTCTGACAGTTCTCTGACAGTTCCTTCACATTTACAGCGGTTGAAACATTGTATCTATTTGTTTCTGAATAAAAACATCTGTATCCTAAATGGAAACAAATAGATACAATGTTTCAACCGCTGTAAATGTGAAGGAACTGTCAGAGAACTGTCAGAAAATAGCGGAGCTCTCTGCAGTGACACTTTTTGCCGGCTGATCGGGGAAAATTCGATTCGTGCATCCGAAGTTTGCTAAAATTCGGATTCGGTGCGAATCGAATTTTTCCTAATATTCAAAACGAATTCCACTTCGCCAAGTTCGATTCGCTCATCTCTAATTAGTACAGTGACAGTGTACAGTATTAGCACTGATCACTGTATTAGTATCACTATTGATGTCAATGTCAGTTACTCAGTTAGTGTACCTCCCAGCCAGCATCACAGTATAAGTTGCTGATCACCGCCACTACTAGTATAGCATCATAACTACGTAAATTCCAGTATACTGTATATACCATAGTTTGTAGATGCTAAACGTTTTGCACAAATCAATTAATGTACACTTATTGGGATTTTTTTTTCAGACATGTAGCAGAATACATTTTGGCCTAAATTTATGAAGAAATTTTATTTTTACTTATTTTTTTTATTGGATATGTTTTAGAACAGAAAGTAGAAAACATTGTTTTTTCAAATGTTTCAGTCTTTTTCCATTTATGTAATATAAAATAAAAAACCCAGTGGTGATCATATACCACCAAAAGTAAAACAAATGATATAACTTTCTTTTGGGAACAGTGTTGCATGATCACACAATTAGTAGCGCAGTGCTGAATAGCACTTATCTCCACCTGGTGATCCATTCAGTAAGTCTGTTATTTTTCAATGTTAACTTTTTAACAGACAACGCTGCTAGACAAAAGTAGCAGTTAGGGAGTAGGGGCAAACCATTTATTGCTGACAGATGTGCTTACAATGGTCAACTTTTATTAATGTATGTAAAATGTTTATCCCAAAAGAAAAAAAACTGTTTGCTATAACTGCGTATAAGTGTTCACTGGAGTTCAGGTTCAATTTGTTAGTCAAGTCCATCAAAATTTGCTAGTCTAACACCACCCTCCCCCCAAAGCGAGAATGTTGATGTCAAAGGGTGTCTGCTTTATTATTTCATCTAGAATACAGACACCCTAAAACAGGATGCGTGTTACTGTGTGTGTTATTATGGTTTGCTAGATATCAAACATGTATTCTTGTTGTATGTTTTTTCTAATAAGCCTAACGCGGCTTGTTAGCCTTCTGGACTTTGCAATATAGGTGTTTTTGGTGTCTAACTAATTAGTATCTTCTCCTACATTAATATGACCACTTTTTTCAGGGTAAATCCATTACTGTATGGGTTATGGAATATGGATTAGAGCTGAAAACTTGAGAAATGTGAATGTTCAATTTTAGGCCAACAACCAGACTCATGGATGTTTAAGGCTCAGCTGCTCTCTTATTTTATTTATTTCATGGTGCCCATTGAGGAACACAGCTTGATGATAATAAAGCAACCTAGGGTCATACTATTGCCTACTGCTTCAAAACTGCTCAGGTATAGGAAACAGGCCAAAGGAGAGAACAATTGCATATGAGGTGAGGGAACTATGTCCCTCAATGTACTCAAAGAAAAACATTTTACTGTGAGCACAAAAATCCAATTTTCTCTCCATTAATGAACACAGCGTGATGATAATTCAGCAACCAAGTGATGTCCAAAAGAAGTCCAAACAGTGGGGTATAACACACCAACATAAACAAAACAAGGAACACAAAGGCAAATGGAAACCATAGGAATTAAAATGCACTTGCAGAACGTTTTGACCAAAACTAGCATCTGCACCTTAAGACACAATGACCGATCAGCATACAAATGAATACATACAAAAGAATGGGTTGCAGTTGCACAGATCTGACACATAGAGGCACTGAAGAGATAAAGCTCAAGAAATACTACTCTAATGAGATGGGCTTTTCCATTGGGAAGAGGAAGTACTGATCTCACAACTCACAGACCTGCACCACAATTTGTTGAATCCACTAGAAACAGGTCATCTGGATGTTGCAGAACCATGTGATCTCTCCTCAAAACAAGTGTGTCATCAAGTCCCAGCTGAAAAATGGCAGGAAGTTAACACTAGCTGTTCAGATATACACAGTGCTCAGCCAGCAGAACAAAGGAGAAAAATACAACCCAAAATAGTATAGAAAAAGTATAAAACAAGTCAGTAGTAAATGATGGAATTTGAACCCCTTTACAAAAAAGCTACAGCTACAGATGCTTTTGTAGTAAAAAGACAGGCAGCCTCACAAGCATAGGAAGAACACCAGGTACAACAAAAGTCAACTGCACATATCCAAGAATAATGGTGTCTTTAGGGAAGGGGTGAGATGAAGTGTCACAACTGACCTTGTCCTTGTCTGGGTAGCAGAGCCTGTGCCACAGGAACACAGACGGAACTCCTGTATACAAACTGGAAAATTCTGCACTCGATGACTAATTATACCAGGAAACTTTTGAAAATTAGAATTCCGGCAAATAGGGGAAGAGTGGAATGGGAATTGTTGATGTGGAAAAATTGCACAGTGGAAAAGGATTAGAATTTGAGCCTGAACAAGTTGCGAGAACAGAATTATAGGGATTTGCTTTGTAAGCCATTACATGTTAGCAAGATGCATTTAATATAGCCTAACTGTTGATTTCAAAGATTGTTAATCCACACAAATAGTTAACCAGATAATTACCTGACTGAGGTCACTATTCCTTTTCTTACCTATTTTTAGACCTGTTACTTTTGGCTTTACCTAAAGTGACTCATTTCTTAGAGATTGCCAAATACACCACCATTGCTTGCCTATTCTCATTTGTGGACACTGTAATACAAATGCCTTATCGCATTTTACAATATACAGTTGCAAGAAAAAGTATGTGAACCCCTTGGGATTACGTGGAGTTTTGCATGAATTGGGCATAAAAATGTGCTCTGAACGTCATCTAAGTCACAACAATAGAAGAACACAGTCTGCTGAACATAATACTACACAAACATTACATGTTGCCATGGTTTAATTGCACATAACATGTAAACATTCACAGTGCAGGGAGGAAAAAGTATGTGAACCTTTGGACTTAATAACTGGTTGACCCTCCTTTGGCAGCAATAACCTCAACCAAACGTTTCCTGTAGTTGCAGATCAGACCTGCACAACGATCTGGAGTGATTTTGGACCACTCCTCTTCACAAAACTGTTTCAGTGTAGCAATATTCTTGGGATGTCTGGTGTGAATCGCTCTCTTAAGGTCATGCCACAGCATTTCAATCGGGTTGAGGTCAGGACTCTGACTGGGCCACTCCAGAAGCGTATTCTGTGCTGTTGCAGCCATTGTTTTGTTGAATTCCTTGTATGCTTTGGGTCATTGTCCTGTTGCATCACCCATCCTCTGTGGAGCTTCAGTTGGCGGATAGATGGTCGTACGTTTTCCTACAAAATACTTGATAAACTCTGGAATTCATTTTCCCATCAATGACAACAATCTGTCCAGGCCCTGAGGCAGCAAAGCAGCCCCAAACCATGATGCTCCCTCCGCCATGTTTTACAGTGGGGATGAGGTTTTGATGTTGGTGTGCTGTGCCTTTTTTTCTCCACACATAGTGTTGTGTGTTCTTCCCAAACAACTCAATCTTGGTTTCATCTGTCCACAGTATATTTTGCCAGTAGTGCTGTGGAACATCCAGGTGCTCTTTTGCAAACTTCAAACGTGCTGCAATATTCTTTTTGGACAGCAATGGCTTCCTCCGTGGTGTCCTCCCATGTACTCCATTCTTGTTTAATGTTTTCCTTATTGTAGATGTGTCAACAAAAATGTTAGCATGTGCCAGAGATTTCTGTAGGTCTTTAGCTGACACTCTGGGATTCTTCTTTACCTCATGCAGCATTCTGCGCTGTGCTCTTGCAGTCATTTTTACAGGACGACCACGCCTAGGGAGAGTAGCAACAGTGCTAAACTTTCTCCATTTGTAGACAGTCTGTCTTACCGTGGACACATGAACATAAAGGCTTTTGGAGATAATTTTGTAACCATTTCCAGCTTCATGCAAGTCAACAATTCTTGATCGTAGGTCTTCTAAGAGCTCTTTTCTGCGAGGCATGGTTCACATCAGACAGTGCTTCTTGAAACCAGTAAACCCAAAACAGGTGTGTGTTTTTTAAGGGCAGGACAGCTGTCAGCAACACATCCAATATCATCACACTGATTGGAGTCAAGGTTGGCTCACTCCTGGCTCCAATTAGCTCTGGAAGAAGTCATTAAGCTAGGGCCTCACATACTTTTTCCTCCCTGCACTGTGAATGTTTACATGTTATGTGCAATTAAACCATGGCAACATCTAATGTTTGTGTAGTATTATGTTCAGCAGACGGTGTTCTTCTATTGTTGTGACTTAGATAACGTTCAGAGCACATTTTATGCCCAATTCATGCAAAACTCCACGTAATCCCAAGGGGTTCACATACTTTTTCTTGCAACTATATACATTTTCTAATAAAAATTCTAAATAAAAAAAACTTGAGCCAATGTACAGAATATATAACATACATAGTGCAGGGTTTCAGGAGTGGGTAATTCAGAGTGTAGGGGTTGAGAGTATGTAATGTACACAGTTTTGGAGTCAGAGGTACACACAACCCAGCGCACAGCAACTTCTGTCATTCTTTTCATGACACCACCCATACCTCTTTTACAAAACACATCATTACCACTTTCACATTCATATACATACACACTGCATACACATTCATAAATCATACATACACACTGCATACACATACATACAACATACATACACACAAAATGCACATACATACATACAGGAGCGGACTAACCATTTGGAAACTCGGGCACTGCCCGAGGGCCCGGGGTCAGTAGGGGGCCCCATGAGATGCCCCTGGTACCTTTTTCATAGGCTTTTTTGAGTTTGGGCAAGGACACAGGGGCCTCATGATCCCCTATTGCCCGGGGGCCCCATGAGGTGTCAGTCCGCCCCTGCATACATACACACTACACTAACATACACAATCACTTACCTCTCTGGTGGTATTGCTGGCATTTCCAGTTCCCTGTGACCTTGTTTCTGACAGTGGAGAAGCATAAGAGCAACTCACCCCAATTCAGTCCAATTTGCCTTTTCACAGTTTTGGCTCCTCTCTCTCACTCTGGCAGCTAGTAAATGCAGGGTGCAGTGTGAGTGATTCCAAGAAATTACATCACAAATGATGGGATTTGTTTACATCTCTAGAATAGACATTTTGGAAATGTAATGACTCAGCAACCAGAGCATTTTTAGCATCTGACATGAATCTACCAGTGCTTGTTGGTTATCTGGAGAGACAGCCAGGATTTTTATTATCCATGAATCAGCCATTAGCTGTTGATAGAAAAATCTTCCATATCTTCCATATCTAATGAAACATACAGTAGAAATGAAGGAGATATATACACTCTCCTGAGGACACTGGGCATAACTGAGTAGGTGTGAGGTAGGCCTTCTCTTTCAATGTGCCTAGCATCCATTTCTCTTGTAAGCAATGATATGACCCTAGGTAACTTAATTATCATCAAGCTGTGACCTTCAGTGGATGAAAAAAAAGCTAATAATAACAGATGCTATCAAGAAGATGAAAAATAATTAAAGGTTTGGTTTAATAAAATAAGATATTTTGTACAGTTTCTAGAAGGACTTCAAAGGGCACATAGTTTTGAATCGGTTCAGTAACAATAGTTTCATGATTCTCAGGAATATATAGATTGCCCGGAAGCTGCACTTAACATTAAAACTCATTTAAATAATGGCTCTCATAAGACTTAACTGAATGGCCATATTTGCATAATTAAAAGTGGTGATAACATCTATTTCCCTTTCCATGGAAATAAAAATGCTCATATTGTGATGTTGAATAGCATTCCAGTTGGAAAAAACTGTAATTACAGAATACAGTACATTTTTTGTGTATTTATTTAAATGCATTTTTATTCAAGCTGTGCAGCTGTAAATGAATGCCTATAGAGTAACTAAAGTCAAAAGTTTTTCTTATTTTAGACATATTAAGTAAGGGTTAGAACCTTTGTTTGGTTTTTATTGCTGTCTAAGTCTCTGCTGGGAAGATTCGCCACCTCTGTTTGGTGAAAATTGTCAAAAATTCTGAGAAAATTAAAAATAAAGAATACATTTTGACTGAAGTTCCCTGTTCAGGTGGCATATTATGTCCAAATTTTTCCTAACTCTGGAGAAATTTCCTCTCACTTCCTATCATGTCTCAAAACAGGAATTGAAAGAAAATACCCCCAATGGGACAAAGACAGTGAAAACATTTCAAGGTAGCATTTGCTTCAAGTTGATGTTAAATGTTAAAGAACACATACTGGAATATGTTAATGCTTAGACAAAAATACATATTTCATTCAACCATTCTACATGGATTTAATAATATATAATATTCTCTCTCTGTTTCCCTCTAAAATACAGGTTTCATTTGACATGTTAAGTAAAGCAAATACAACCTTTTCTCTCTCTGGACACTGGCAAACACAAAAGACATTTGCCAGCCAAGTATAACACCTCCCACTCCCAAGATGCTTCAGTTTGTAGAAATGATGTATTAGGAGTAGACTGACATGTGGGACCTGAATCCCTTAATGAACTCCAAGAAACAGACTGTACAGTAAGTATAACAAGATCCAGTTTAAAAAATCCCATAATATTCATTAAGAGACACATGATCAAATGTAAATCAGAGACTATTGGGATGTCCAAAAATGGTGCACGGTAGGAGTAAGCAACACAGCAGCACATGAGGGACCTTGCATCAGCTGAGGCCTGAACATCATCCTGATAAAACCTATGCCAAACGTACAAAGGAGCATCTGGTAAAGTGTGCCCTAAGAATGAAACCTTATCCTTAAACCTACAAGCATGTACAATAATTTGATGAAGCCACCGGGATATGGTGGAGCAAGAAACAGGTTGTCCCTTTTGGGGACCCTTAGGTCTTACAAAAAAAAATTGAGACTATCTAAAGGAAGATGTAGCTGTAAGAAAAAATTAACAGCTCAAATGACACCCAAACAATGAAAATAAATCTCCTTAGGATGTAATGGGGTCAGAAAAAAACATGGAAAAACAATGCCCTGTTTAACGTGGAAAGAAGAAACCACCTTAGGGAGAAAGCTTTGTTTTTGTGCAGAATATGAAAAGGTTCTTAATAATACAAGATTACTTATTCAGAAACACACCTTGCAGCCATCATAGCAATAGGGATGTCCTCGAAGTTCAGGTTGAACATTGGGTGTTTGTGGGTTCTGAAAACACATGAATGCTTAGGGTGTTAGTTTTAGGCCATTGGGACAGTGGTGGCGGTGGGGCATCGTGATTGACATTGGATCTACTTCGGGGGACTTTTTAAAATTGCTGTTGTTTTAATAAAGAACTAGTCAAAGACTGTCCACTGTCATTTTTTACACTACACTTTTTTTGTGAAAAAGTAGCAGTACCATGTACCCCATACTCATTCACATGGGGAAGGGGCTGGGATCTGGGGTCCCTTTGTTAAAGGGGGCTTCCATATTTTGATAAACTCCCCACCCGCAGACCCCCACAACCACAGGCCAGGGTTGTTGGGAAGAGGCCCTAGTCCCCATCAACATGGGGACAGGGTGTTTTGGGGGGGGGGGAGCCCTCCCTGCTCCAAATCACTCCTCCCATGTTCAGGACATGTGGTCAGGTATGGTTCAGGAGGCTGTATGCTCGGATAATGGTATGGTATGGATTTTGGGGGGGCCTACGCAATTTTTTAAAGCATTTTGATGTGGGGGTTCCCCTCAAAATCCATACCAGACCCGAATGGCTTGGTATGGATGGGGAGAGGACTCCACACTGTTTTTTTTGCAAAATTTTTAATTGCCAGTGATTCTTTTTACCCTGCTGACAGCTAAAGCTTTACCGCATGCTTTTCACTACTAAAACACCACATGACGTAATAAAATAACTCATGCAGTATTTTAGTGAATGCTAACTTTTTTTTTTAAAATGCCATACGGTATTTTACTGCATACTTGGATGCAGTAAGGTACCACTTAGGGAATTGTTCCAAGGGTTTTTTTTTTTAGGTTCAAATGTTTGACTGTGAACCGAACAGGGGGGTGTTCGGCCCATCACTACATAGCAATTAGGAAAGCAGCCTTGCGTGTGAGAGTTGACAGCAAAATATCACTGATAGGTTCAAAATGTTGTCTTTGAAACAGACAGAACCAGGCTCAGGGAGAATTCCCACAGAGTCATTGGAGGTTGGACAGATGGGACTATGTGAAGGGCATCTTATGCATGGGTCATTACCAAAGATTAAGAGGCAATTGTTCTTTATTTTTCAGGAGCCAAGATTCACCCTGTACTCACAGTCAAAAGTAGTTTTCAGAAAAGTCACATTATCCAAAATATTATCCTTAAACATATGCATGCTGCGTCAATACAAACTGATATGGTGTCTTTAGACCTGGAAACTACTTTCAGCAGACTGAGGCTCCTTAGGCACAAACTCATTCAGAATAAATGCATGATGCTCCATCTAAAATAAAGCATCCTCAATTGAGTACTCAGAGGTTACTACAGCCACAGTACTTTATGGTACAGATTCAGGAAGAGCAGACATAGAAGCATGCATCATAGCTGTAAAAAATTACCCACTAGATAATGCAGATCTCCTCAAGCAAGGGATAACAATCCAGGCTATAGGCATTAGGTCATTGAGGAGCTGTTAGAGAATCTTGTTCTGGAGGCCTGCAGGACCATTCCCTTTACGTTTGGGATCCAACATGTTGCAGTGCAACTGAGACAATGTAAATAAACAAACGAAGGTAAATCTTTGGTACTCACAAACCAGCCGATGAAAACAGAAGCGGTGATATGCTGAGAGGTGATTGAGTCACTATATGACGCAGCAAAGACAAACCAAGCCAAAAACCACATAAACCTTGCACATAGAGAAGTGACAGGAAAACTACCTCATGCTGAAAGGGCAGGAATAAATCATGTAAAATGTGCATATGATACAGTTGTTAGTGACAACAGGAACATATTGCCCCATCCAAGGACATACTTCCAAGGGAGTCATCAGGAACTGGGTCACACCAGAGGCTGTGCTATAACGTTTAAAGGTAAATCCTAACATTTAGGAATGAGTTCCTAGAATTATCTAGATGAGAGCCCACCAGGAAGCTGTCACCTGTACTTGGCCAAACATTTGGCGACAAGGCATTTGCTGCCCCAAAGCTGCACATATACAAGGGGAGTGTGTACATGCAGCTACATGGCAGGGAATGCTTCAGCTGCAGATTATTGGCTCAGTACAGTGACAGCTTCTCAGCAGACTCACTCACCTGAACTTAGACGGGGATTCGAACATGCCCAAACCCATTCCTACTCACAACTGCTGCTTGGATGTTGGTAAAGTGGAGTCTGCTGTCTCTCTGATGTTCTTCATTGGATTGTTTATAGTTTGCATAAGAGGAGCCATTGAAAGACACAGCATGTTGTGGGCAGCAGGTGTTGAGTATACCTGTGAAAGTTAAAGTGGCAGTGCACCAGTTTGGGGGAACTGTGCAGGTCACTGTGAACTTTGTAAGCAGTGTGCATGCAATACAGCCCACTCACAAAATGACAGTGCTAAAATGAGAGGGGCTTGACTGGGATTTCAACACCTGAGCAAGCCACACATGTACCAACACAGAAGCCCCCAATTTATTTGTCTGCCATAGATGGGTATAAACCCCATTTGGCAGGGATGATCCCAGCTACAGAGATTGGCAAGGCAACCCTTAGTGCCTGAGAGGGCCAATACCTATCCAGAAACAGGAAGTAAGCAGCTGAATTTACACAGCCTGCATTTTTTTTGCAGTTGATACTGCCTTCTGGGAATATAAACATTTTATCTTTAAGAGTATGCCTGTGTGGAAAGCATGGCTCAGAGAATTCTG